GGTGTGTCTGTGAGCCAGACTAGTTTCGGAGAATTCCACTCCTCATCAGCGACTCTGGACAATACCATTTTATTTGCTACAACTAAAAGTTATATACATTAAACATTAACACGAAGTTTTGTATATGTGTATGATAACAGAAACTTTGATAGTTACGTATATTAACACATATCTTTCTGTTCCACGTTGTTATTATTTCACTCACATTTTGTGAGGAAAACATCCTTGCTTTAACGTGTTTATAAACACCTTCAACACCAAAACGTGCACTCAAACTACTCACGTTATTTATTAGTGGCAGTGCTTGAAATACAACTTCATTTAAAATCTGGTACGGCTGATCCTTTTTGAGTCGAAAAAACTGTGATTTGTTGACGTAGCTATCAACTATGAGCAGTTTTAAACTTTAATCAAGCTTTGAACGTTCTAATAACTTCCTAATGTTTCATCAGAACCAATCAAATTACGCGTTGTTACCACGTAAACTGTTTAACAATTTATTTTCGTATTGAAATCCGTCATTAGATCCACAAAATTAACTTTCTCTCACTTTTTCGGCAGCCTTTTGAACTATCTAATTGGTCAGTAATATGTTACATGTTCATTTATTAAGGGCATGAGTGATGTGAACAGATCGTATGTTCCCCTTGAACTCAGAGTACCCAACTGACATTGCTTAACGACTTACTTCTGACACTAATAACTTATAAATACCCTAAAGTAACATAAATATCGCGAAGGCTTATCAGAGAACAACTGACAGAAAATGTATAATAATCTATGAAGAATGGTTATTGATACTTCGAATCTGTGAGGTTTTTAATAAATATAAGGTTTGTTTCATTTATTAAATGTTTATTGTTTCATTATCAAATCAGTTTCCTATCTTATAGGACAGAGTACGGAATATGTAATTTATTTATTTCTATTAAAAATGTTTGGCAATTGTAACATGTAACGTAGGTATTATTGTTCTCCTATTTCAGTCTATATTGATGACCTGGAGCGGTAATTGTTCTGAATTTGCTTTTCGATCTAACGTCTGCATGATTCTTAAACTAATGTTATATGTTTTTGTTCTTCAACATCAACTTTAATTCATAAGTTTCTCCCCCCCCCCAGTGGCACAGCGGTATATCTGCGGACTTACAACGCTAGAAACCGGATTTCGATACCTGCGGTGGGCAGAGCACAGATAGCCCATTGTGTAGCTTTGTGCTTAATTCCAAACAAACAAACAAATTCTTAAGTAAAGTGTTTAGGGTTTTTTTCAGTGTACCTCACTCTATCACAATTTTTGTCCTGCTTTCGTATATTTCTGAACTAAAGTCTGCTTAACTTCAATACTCAATACCAGTTCCTTACGATTAAAGTCTGCTTAACTTCAATAATCAATACCACTTTCTTATAACTAAAGTCTAATGAACTTCAGTATTCAAAACCAGTTTCTTATAACTAAAGTCTAATTTAATTTCAGTATTCAATACCAGTTCCTTACAACTAAAATCTGCTTAACTTCAGTATTCAATACCAGTTCCTTATAACTAAAGTCTGCTTAACTTCAGTATTCAATACCAGTTCCTTATAACTAAAGTCTGCTTAACTTCAGTATTCAATACCAGTTCTTTATAACTAAAGTCTAATGAACTTCAGTATTCAATACCAGTTCCTTACAACTGAAGTCTGTTTAATTTTAGTATTCAGTATCTGATTCTGACAACTAAAGTATGGTTAAATTCAGTGTCAGTTTTTTACAACTAAATTTTGTTTAACTTCAGTATTCAATACCAGTTCCTCACAAGAGAAGATGTGACTGAGTAGACAAGTAATATTAATTATTAAAATTAGAATTTGTTTGCTTGAAAAACAGTTCATATATTTGTAAAAACGTTTTATTAATGTTTATGAAAACAAATCAAGAAGTAATGGTATTTTAGAAATAGTAATAAACAACGTGACCTATATTCTAGTAGCTCAGTAACAAAGAATTCGTTTCGATCAATGATATTAATTAACTATAAATGATGTATTAAAGATAATAAATACAGCGCTTAATTTATCATTCAACTCACCACTCGTTACTGAGTTATGCCGGTTTCGAGGAATTACACTCCTCGTCAGTAACCCTGTACAAAGACAAATAAGACATATACGAATTTGCTTTTTATAGTATTAGAGCATATGTGATATGAAGTTAAGCATAGTCTTTTCTTTTGGTTTGCTCTTGTCCAAGGTTACTAATAAGGGTTTTCCCCGAAAAAGGCATAACTCAGTAACAAGTTGTGAATAGAATGGTATATGGAGCTTCATATTTATTTATGGTATTTTAAACAGCTTGTATGCTGAATAATTCAGATGAATAAATCAGTAGCATCAGTTCTGCATATTCTTCAAATTGTTTATAAATATAGCTACACTGTGATGCGTGAAAAACAACTCAAAGACACTATAGATGGCGTATATAAACATCGAATGGAATGTCAAATCCTTCAGCGTTGTATGATAAATTACACTTTCGCCGAAAATGTAACGTTAATGTTGTCCGTTAGGGTTTCTGTGAAAAACAGTGATTTATGATTTCTTGGACGTTTTTATGTCAAAGCTTTATTATATATTGTCATGGTATTTGCCATGCAAATCTTTACATGCTGCGCTCCTCTCTTAATTAGTCTTCTCCTCACTAGAAAGAAAATAAATCTACTAATATAGAATATGACGACTTTGTGGCAATACAGCAGCTCTACAGTAAGATTTTCCTTTTGCCACCCATAATGACTAATGACAGTAAATCAAACATAAAGCAACAGCGTTGCATTATAAAAGAAGCTACTGGTGTTGCAGTAATTACAACTCGCATAGAAACTTATTGGCCTTGAAAGTGCACGTCACTTATAAAGGAAAAATTTTTGCCAGGAAAAATGGGCAAAAATTACACCGTTTCGTTGTGCAAAGCTGGCAAAGACCTATTCAAAAGACTCACAATAGGATTTAGGAAGATGAATACTTATGTAATCAGCAAATTTCAATTTATATTTTTTCTTTGCAGGTTTTGTTGACATATTCAACATAACAGTGTTAAGTTTGATCATTAGTGTTTTGAATAAAAACAACTTCATTAAAAAAAGTGTTTACTTTATTTGTATTTCATCAAAATATGACATTTTTGGTAGGGGGTGAATACTTTTGGAAGGCACTGTAAGCTATGCTGGATGAAGGCTCTGCCCCGTAAACATTAACTTCGATATTGTTGATATATGCTCTTAAAAGCTTATGGACATAACAAATGTTAAAATATATAACTCATGCATGAAATATTGAGTATAAAATATTAAGTAGTGTGCAGCCTTGCATACAGTACTGACAGTGTGTCTCTAACAATGTTTATATGTATGACTTTACCTGTTTTAGGCACGTGGACTTCATGAACGTCTTGTCCTACGACTACCATACAGCATACGAGTCTGAAACTCACCATCACGCGCCGCTTTTCAAGCGTCCGGATTTTATCAGATGGGACGAAAAGAACAAATTGAACGTGGTAAGCAGATTAATATAGTCTGTAAAGATACCAAAATCAAGCTGAATGTGGTAAAACGTGATATTAGTCTGTGAAGATACCAAAATCAAGCTGAATGTGGTAAAACGTGTTATTAGTCTGTGAAGATACCAAAATCAAGCTGAATGTGGTAAAACGTGTTATTAGTCTGTGAAGATACCAAAATCAAGCTGAATGTGGTAAAACGTGTTATTAGTCTGTGAAGATGCCAAAATCAAGCTCAACAGGGTAAAGCAGATTATCAGTCAATGAATATGCTAAAATGAAGCTGAATGTGGTAAAACATGTTATTAGTCTGGGAATATGCCAAAATCAAGCTCAACAGGGTAAGGCAGATTATCAGTCAATGAATATGCTAAAATGAAGCTGAATGTGGTAAAACATGTTATTAGTCTGTGAAGATGAAAAATAAAGGTGAATATGACAATACTTCGAATTGTTTAACTGCCAAAGAACAAATTACATTTAAAGATTACACATTACTTAATGGTGTATTAGATGTAATGAAACATACACCTATACGTATTATTTTGTCATTTTTAGCAGTCTTAAAAATATTTCTTGTTTTTCCGGTTAAAGTGTTTTACATCCAAACATTAATAACTTTAGTGTTAGCGAATTACATAAATCACCAATATAGGCTTAAAATATTAAACAATAATAACAATAATAATTTAATAGTCAAATCTTTAGTATGCGGATAGTCTACAAAAATATCGAGATCAAGAAGTTAGCTATTTTTCGGAATTATGCATTCTAAAAACAAAATTAACAATTTTTAAGTTGACGAGTTCACTAGAAAAGCAAGTTAAATACAATAGACTGTCTTTAATGAGGAAAACTGCAGAGAATACTATAAGAGCTACTTTTTTATGTTCAAAGAAAAACATAACTGAGTTTTTTGTTTGTTTCAGTCACTTAAAATATCCATAGCTTTAATATGCCATTACACATGGGCATTATTATTGTCTTGTCTGACATGTATGTTTAATTGAAGATAAGAATATGTAACCCTCTAGGAATGGACTATAGAATATTACATAAAGCTTGGTGCTGAGGCTGGGAAACTGATAGCTGGTATCCCCACTTATGGGCGTTCCTACACATTGATAGATCCAGAAGACAACGCAATGGAAGCACCTGTAGACGGTCCTGGTGAGGAAGGACCTTCAACCAGAGAGAAAGGATACCTGTCGTATTATGAAGTACGTATTGTGTTACTTTTTTAGTAGCATAGACGGTCTATGATATATACTACACTGGTTTGATTAAAGTAGTTCAGGAACCCTGTACTATATACTACATTGGTTTAAAGTGGTTCAAGAATCCTGTAATTTGTACTACATTGGTTTAAAGTGGTTCAAGAATCCTGTAATTTGTATTACATTGGTGTAAAGTGGTTCAAGAATCCTGTAATTTGTACTACGTTGGTTTAAAGTGGTTCAAGAATACTGTAATTTGTACTACATTGGTTTAAAGTGGTTCAAGAATCTTGTAATTTGTACTACATTGGTGTAAAGTGGTTCAAGAATCCTGTAATTTGTACTACATTGATTTAAAGTGGTTCAAGAAGTCTGTAATTTGTACTACATTGGTGTAAAGTGGTTCAGATCTCCTGTTATACGCACTATACTGGTGTAAAGTAGATCAGGAACCCTGTAATATGTACTACACTGGTTTAAAGTAGTTCGGAAACCCTGTAATACGTACTACATTGGTTTAAAGTAGTTCAGGAACCCTATAATATGTAACACACTAGTTTAAAGTAGTTCAGGAACCCTGTAATATGTACTACACTGTTTTAAAGTAGTTCAGGAATCATGTAATATGCACTACATTGGTTTAAAGTAGTTCAGGAACCCTGTAATATGTACTACATTGGTGTAAAGTGGTTCAAGAATCCTGTAATTTGTACTACATTGGTTTAAAGTGGTTCAAGAATTCTGTAATTTGTACTACATTGGTGTAAAGTGGTTCAGGTCTCCTGTTATACGCACTATACTGGTGTAAAGTAGTTCAGGAACCCTGTAATATGTACTACACTGGTTTAAAGTAGTTCAGGAACCGTGTGATAGGAAACACACTGGTATAAAGATGTTCAGAAACCCTGTACTATGTACTACATTGGTTTATAGTAGTTCATTAACCCTGTAATATGTACTACACTGATTTGAAGTAGTTCAGGAACCCTTTGATATGCATTACACTGGTTTAAAGTTACTCAAGAATCCTATGATATGTACTATATCAGTGTCAAGTGGTTTAGGTCTTCTGTTATACGCACTACACTAATTTAAAGTATTTCAGCAACCCTAAGGTATGTACTAGAATGGTTTAAAACAGTTCAGGTCTCCTGTGCTATGTATTACACTGGTTAAAGTTGTCCAGTAGTCCTTTGTTATGTACCAATTTTGTTTACGGTACTTCAAGAGTCATCTGACATACACAACATAGTTTTGACGTAATCCAGGTGTTCAGTACATGCACCACTCTTGTTTGAAATATTCCAGAAGTCCGGAGTCATGTATTATGATAGATTATGGTATGTACCACACATCATTAAACAGTCCAGGAGACGTGCCCAATGTACCGTCTAAATGTAACGTAGCTCTCTATGTCCTGTGATAAGAATTACGTTAGCTAATAAAACATAAAAACAATGTAGTAAATACTATGTTAGTTTCAGAAACCGAGTGACACAATAGCATATGTCATACCACTACCTGTAAGCTCGGTTAGTTGCTAATAGCGGAAGAACTGTGTAAAACACACAGAAACTTATAGCTGAAGAGTTGTGTAAAACGCATCATATCAGACGTATAACTGAATAGTTGTGTAAAACCTACCAAATAAGAAACTCATAGCTGAAGAGTTGTTTAAAATGCACCACTTCAGAAACGTATAATTGGAGAGTTGTGTAAAACGCACCAAATAAGAAACTTATAGCTGAAGAGTTGTTTAAAATGCACCACTTCAAAAACGTATAATTGGAGAGTTGTGTAAAACGCACCAAATAAGAAACTTATAGCTGAAGAGTTGTTTAAAATGCACCACTTCAGAAACGTATAATTGGAGAGTTGTGTAAAACGCACCAAATAAGAAACTCATAGCTGAAGAGTTGTTTAAAATGTACCACTTCAGAAACGTATAATTGGAGAGTTGTGTAAAACGCACCAAATAAGAAACTTATAGCTGAAGAGTTGTTTAAAATGCACCACTTCAAAAACGTATAATTGGAGAGTTGTGTAAAACGCACCAAATAAGAAACTTATAGCTGGAGAGTTGTGTAAAATGCACCAGAAACTTTACGGTACTTTATATTTAGGTTCATCAACTAGAACGAGAAAAGCAGATTTTATTCAGTTAGTAGGCTAAAGGTTCCATGGTAAGCAACAGTTCGTTTTAGCAATATACAAACTGCAAGCTAGTGATGTAGCCAGCATGGTGTGTAACATGATCTCGTCCAAACATCTGCGGTACTGTGTTACCTAGAGCTCTACAGCTTTTAAAATAAAAATATAGAATCCGTCGACAAACTTGTTGAAATGTAATGCTTCAGTTAATTAGCCTAGAAAAGTTTTGATACGTAAAGCTTTGATTTAGTGTCGTCTGGAAACTTTGTGACGTGTAACGTTTTAATTTAGTAGCCTAGAAATTTTGTGATGTGAAATGCATTAATTTAGTATCCAGAAACTTTGTTACGCTTTAATTGCGTAGAAGTTTTATTATATACAACTTGTTTTTAATAGCCTACAAAATTTGTGATATATAACTCTTTAGTTTGGTAGTCTTGAAACTTTGTAATATGTAACAATTTAATAGTTTAGAGAGTTCTGATATTTAACTTAGTTTAGTAGCGTAGAACTTTAATGGTATGTAACACTTTTGTTTAATAACGTAGAGCTTTTGTGATATGTAAGTTTTTAATATCTATAAATTTTGTGGTATCTAACTCTAGTTAGTAGTTACTACTAAGTTTAGTAGTCTAGAAGTTATGAGTCATGTAAGACTCTAGTAGTCTGAAAGTTATGTGGAATCTAACGCGTCAGTAACTTACGAGTATATGAGGTATGGGACACTTTTTATTGAATAATTCAACAGCTGCAAGTTGAGTTGGTATAACCTGGTAATCGAATAGTATGTTATATGTGTATGCGTCTTCTTTTGTTGTCTGTTTTGTAAGCAGCCGTTCAGCAACAGTGAAGTTTTGTGTTCTGTTTAATGTAATAGCTCTTTCAGTTTAATAAGGAGCACCAAACTAATTAAGTTATTTTGTTTTGTGTTCTGTTTAATGTAATAGCTCTTTCAGTTTAATAAGGAGCACCAAACTAATTAAGTTATTTTGTGTTCTGTTTAATGTAATAGCTCTTTCAGTTTAATAAGGAGCACCAAACTAATTAAGTTATTCTGTTTTGCAACTTCTGTGGCACGAGGGATAATACGTATTTGTCTCAAGATTTTATAATTTTGTGATATTTGTAGATCTGTCAGAATATCTTGGATGAAGGTTGGACTGTCCGGAAACCATACCCAGAACAAGTGGGTCCTTATGCTTTTAAAGATGACCAGTGGGTCGGCTTTGATGATGAAGAAATTATCATTGAAAAGGTAACTAAAGAAACATGTTTCTATAGAAAAGTTAATTTTACTATTATTATTATTGAAATTTTAAATATATTCAAATGATAACTTTTCAAGTCGTTTTGTTGTATTGGATCATAATTTTCTGACCTTTCTAAGCCCGCATTTTTATCCTAAGATGTTCTTGTTTTAATTAATTTAATCTAATAGAATACGATAAACAATTATTTAATACAGTGTATAATCACGCTTGGTAAGTGTTAGCATTTCAATTTGAACAGACCAAAAATTGGCTTTCACAAAGATTTGTTTCCCGAATATTCGCGTAAAACTGCACAAGGGCTATTTGCGTCATTCCCAAATTTGAGCTGATAGGCTAGAGAGAAGGCAGCTCGTCAACAGTACTCACTACCAACTCTTGGGATTTGACCGTCACTTTTATAACACACCCACAGTCTGAAATTGCGGAGTATCCTTTTGGTTACAGAAGGCAAACCATGGATCCTCGGATTCACAGTCTGGCATACTAACTGCTAGGTCACGCCTGGTACGTTTTTACTAGATAAAATAACATTAAGAGCATTTCAAATACACTTCGCTTAATTAATAAACGTGTCTACGTATTGTATTTGGGTTTATGGTTTGCTAGCTTCATTGTTACTGATACCCACTATGTATCTAACAAAGAAGAAAAACGTATAAATAACCAACACACACACACACACACCAAAACAGAAAACACTACAATCCTTGAACTATTCTACTTCTTCTCTTCTTTATTATTGTCTTCTACCGGTTTCGTGACTTCAAAAGTTACTCTTCAGGATGTAATTTTACAGATAATCTGTAATAAAAACATTTAAAACCACTTTTCAACTAAACATAAATAACCTGAATGAGATACATATTTATCAAAATGCGCAAACATAAAATACAGTCTTTACATAAATGTATAAACATAAAATACTGTCCTTCTATCAGTCAAATACATTAAAATATAGTCAAAAATAAATTAGTTAAAAGTTATCAAAGGTATTTTCTTTTCTGTTCCTTTATCTATATGTATATATAGCTCAAACGCTATCGAGCAACTACAAAAGTTTAAGATTGACTGCAGCGTCCTCTTTATTTTTATATAATAAAAATCACTTCAAATTATATAAGAAAACCTGAAATAATTAAGTATATTTTGAATGCCTTGTGGGTTAACCATGTAATCATAAAATCTAAGATAAGATAAAAGCTTAAAATAATCAATACATATATCTTTTTAGGTCGTTCAGATTTTTTGATTTACCAACAATACTACCAGGATCTAAGTCTGAGTAAAATTTTAGAAGAATCATTCTTAGAAATTTCCAGTTCAGCTAAAAACGAACATGACACTGGGTTTACACAAGATGTCTGACCTTATAGACTTGGAAAGAACTTGGTAGATTTATACTGATTGTGTTCTGTTACACTTCCATTAGTAAATTTGACAGATTTGTAAAAGAAGTAAAAAAGTTTAAATGAAACATTTCAGTTTATTAGTTAAGAAATATATAAGTAAATAACAAATAATGCGAGTTAATGACATATGATTTTATAATGTTTATTTTCTTTCATTCTTACGAATTTTACTTTTAGGTGTAATATAAACTTTCACCTACATAAACAATGTTTACACGATTTCCCTGTTCGTCTATTGTAGTTTACCTTATATATTAACTTGGACTTTGTCTATTTTCAGGCTAAGTTCATTTTAAGACGTGGACTAGGTGGTGCTATGGTATGGACTCTTGATAACGACGATTTTCGTGGACTCTGTGGCGATGAACAGAGTCCCCTAGTGAACACTCTTCGTAAAGCTCTGTTTTCCAATATCATAGAAGGTTCTTCCAAAAGACTGTCAACTCGAACTGAGGATGATAATGATGGCGGAGGTTATAGACCTCCTATACGAGATGGTCATAAGAGGAAAAGCAGACCTAACCGTCGACGTCGCCCAGGATTTCGCAGAGTAGTTAGACCTCGCACCACAACTGAATCCCAAAATTTTATAGATCTGATTCAGACCCCTGCCCCACCCCCAACCCCTGATCCAGGTCCAGCTTTCACTTGCCCAGATGAAGGATTTTATAGCAATACACGTGACTGTCGCAAGTATTTCTGGTGTTTGGATAGTGGTCCAGCAGAACTGGGAGTAGTGCCTCATGCCTTTACTTGTCCTTCTGGTCTTTATTTCAATACAAAGATGGAAGCATGCGACTACCCTGAAAACGTGGTCTGTAATAGCCGTCCTGTGACCCCCGTCTTAACAACCCGGCGTCCCCGACCTCGACCAACTACTACAACCACAGAATTGTCTAGAAGAATTGAGAACAAATTTGAGAACGCTCTAAACAGCTTCCATTCTGGTAAAACTGACTTATCCAACAGTGATAAAATTGCAGAACTCTTGCGTCTTCTTCAGTCTCTAGGAGGAGTGGATCGTTTACAGAGTATCCTGGGATCTGAAGCTGCTGATAGGTTAACTGCAGAGAACCTTGACAGAGAGGATGGTCAACCACCAAGACTTCAGACGTTACCAGATTATGTTACTCCCCAAAGAGCTGCCGCAGAAGACGAATCACCACGACTACAGACGTTACCAGATTATGTTACTCCCCAAAGAGCTGCCGCAGAAGACGAATCACCACGACTACAGACGATACCAGATTATGTTACTCCCCAAAGAGCTGCTACAGAAGACCAGTCACCACGACTTCAGAAGTTACCAGATTATGTTACTCCCCAAAGAGCTGCCGCAGAAGACGAATCACCACGACTTCAGACGATACCAGATTATGTTACTCCCCAAAGAGCTGCCACAGAAGACGAATCACCACGACTTCAGACGATACCAGATTATGTTACTCCCCAAAGAGCTGCCGCAGCAGCAGTTACCACTGAAAAATTCGAAACTCCAGTCACAGAACCCTCTGCAGATCCAAAAACATCACCTCCAAAAATATCAAGCCTCCCACGATATCGACGCCCGTTCTCCCGACGACCTTATAGGCCGGCAACTTTAGAGCCATCTAAGAATAATGACTATCAACCAGTAAACCAGTTAATAAATCAAGTTCCTCGTCGTCCTCAATATGAACCTCCTGAAAACACCGACAGACTCTTTCAATATGTTGAACCTAACAGGCAGAGATTGCAGGATGCAAATATCGATGACCAGAATGACAAGGAAGCTGAATTTTCCTTTGTTTACCGCACTCCCGTCAGAACTCCAGAATCAGCTGTTACAGAGCCATCTACAACCCAAGTTGTGCTCAGTAATCCTTTCGTATACCAGACACCTCGTCGCTCTAAAGCCCTAACTACTCCACAAGACCCGAATTTGGTCACCACCGCAACTCCTTCCATACTAGGGCCCGATGACAACGGTCGTACAGTCTACCGAGTTCCAGTCCGAGTTCGAGATGGTAAAGTTGTTCGTATACGTGGTCATAGTGGTCGGGGAAGAAGAACAAGGATCCGTGTCAGGCCCAGACCGGCTGCCAGTCGGACACGGGAGTTAGATGTCTCCAATGAAAATACTTTCCACAGACGAAGAGTGGGAGTTCGCCGACGACCTGTATTTACGAGTAATTATGAAGACGCTGGGTCTGCAGGAATTGGCCGATTTGCCGAGGAATATACTTTGACAAAAAAAGTCAAGAATATAAGAGAAAATGAATATGTAGCAGCCCAAAGGCATCGACCAGCTCGAAGAAGAAACCAGTCGCCTAAAACTACAACTAGAGTAACTACTGAAGTGCCCACAACACCGACCTCGACAACGACTCAGTTCTCAGCAATAACAATACAATCTCCACAGCGATATAGGTTACCTATTTTTGAACCACCTCTACAGGAAACTGAAAATACCAACAATATTACCGAACGACTTCCGACAGTTCTCGATGCTACTCGGCCCGACACAGAACAGACCAGTCCACGAGCTAAAACCACCAAACGACAGTATTTTCGAACCACCTTTTCTCCGCCACCTAGATCAACGACGACAACAACAACAACTACAACTACAACGACTACAACTCAGAGACCAACCACTCGCCGGACAACTACCACTACAACTCGGAGACCAACTACACGCCGTACAACTACCACAACAACGCCGGAACCACCGTCAGTGATTGTTAACGGAGATGATGTCGAGTGTCTACAGCGTGGAGTATTCCGTCACCCCATTGACTGCGGTAACTTCGTGGTATGCGCGCCAGCCAACTCGGAAGGTTACTTCCGTAGCTTCGTACACAGCTGTCCAGCTGAAAGAGTGTTCCTGGAGACCATCGGAAGGTGTACAGTCGGCGACAAAGCGAATTGCCAAAGCATCAAGTAGATGTATTGTTGTTTAAACTCCATAAAACTTAATTACTCATCGAACCATTGTCACCCGTCTGACGCCGATTACTTATGGCAATAGCTCAGTTTACTCCCATGATGATTTGTACATGAGGTAAACACGCGCATGCACGCTACGAATTAAGCTACAAATTTCTGCTCATTTACTGGTATTTTACATATGTATTATGAATTCAGTCAAAAGCCTTTACTGTTTGAGAGATGGTGCAAATAGTAAAGTATTCCGTTTTTAGAGACCACTGGCATATCTAATGGGAAAAGAACAACAAAAACATGCCACTAACACTGATGGTAGAACTTACTGAGCCTAAAGTACGGCCAGTCAATTTCACAAAATATTCTCTTTGTTTTACTATATGTTTTCTACTTTATATCGCTATAATCCCTTACATACGGGGCAAGGGCATTTACCATTGAGATAGATTATTTTATATGTATGTATTATATGTATGTAAATTTTCTATATGACAATAATACTTTATGTCTTGATGATCTCTGACCAGAAGCATTTTTAAGTTGTTTCAATCTTTCCTTTGAAATTGTATTTTCAGCGTGTTCGAATATACGCTGTTTTTTGTTTCTTTTTTTTGTTTGTTTTTATTTTTAATTTCCTTCACATTATAAAGGAAGCTTGTGTTTTCACGAGAGGATTTACTTATGGTTATTAAAAGAATTCATAAACACCAACTTAATATTTTAAATAAGTACCAGTAGGTGTTTTGTGGATTTTCATAACTTGAAGGTGGTTCAGTATGGACAAAAACATAAGATGTCGCTGGAGTAGAACTTGGTTGGAAAACAACATTATTTCTAAGCGGTACTATGTAAAATGCAATTATTCATTTACTGTTTTAACCTCAAACATTTTGTATACTCTTCTTACGTTGCTGTAGAATTTAGTGTTTAATAAATGACATATAAAGTATTTATGTTATAGTATACATTCACTAAAGATACTGGAAAAACATATCCAGAAACCTGAAAACTGTTTCCAAAAAATTCAGGTTTATAAACGGAAATATTTCTAAATATCACCCATTACTAGATAAAATACTCCAAATTTTGAGATTGTGATAAAGGTGGATGTTCCTCTTTATGATGCAGAAAGGCCTTCTAATTATTTTGATTCGTGTTCTTCTATCACTCCAACCAACTTAAGTAACATTATTACACCTGGGAATTTGACGTTTTATTTGTAAAATAAAACACATTATTCCTTTGATATGAAAGATGCTTTTGACATACAAAAAAAAAGATTCACTTAATAAATCCAAGTATGTATAAAGACGTCTTTAGATTCAATCGTCTCAGAAAGTGAGTGTAAAAAACACTCATTGACGGGAACAAAGTAAAATACTCTTAAGATTTATTCAATGTTTTCCACTGTAGCACGAATAAAGATATGTTTTTCATAAAAAATAAAATAATAAATTAAAACATCATAAGATTAATTTTTTTCCCAAATTTTTAAGGATTTTCACATAACATGAAATACAATTGCGGATGTATTCATTCATTTTGACCTAAGTATTCCCAAGTACCAAAGCTAATTATTTCAACATCACCTAGTTAACACTCACAAACATAGCAGCACAATAACCAAGTTAATGTTCACAGCCATAGCAGCACAATAACTAAGTTAATGTTCACAGCCATAGCAGTACAGTAATCAGGTTAACGTCCACAGATATAGCAGTACAACAACCAGGACAACGTCCACAGACATAGCAGTACAGTAATCAGGTTAACACTCACAAATATAGCAGCACAATAACCAAGTTAATGTTCACAGCCATAGCAGTACAGTAATCAGGTTAACGTCCACAGATATAGCAGTACAACAACCAGGACAACGTCCACAGACATAGCAGTACAGTAATCAGGTTAACACTCACAGATATAGCAGTACAACAACCAGGACAACGTCCACAGACATAGCAGTACAGTAATCAGGTTAACACTCACAGATATAG